TATATATATATACACATTATATATTACATATTTATATATAATATATATTATATATTATATATATATAAAGATAGTTTTAAATATCAAAGTATGAAAGTATAATAGATATATATATTCTTGTATTTAAATGATCCTACTGGGCATTGTGGCTCACGACTGTAATCACAGCATCTTGGGAGGCTGAGGTGGGAGGATGGTTTGAGGCCAGGAGTTCAAGACCTGCCTGGACAAAGTGAGATACCCATTTCTATAAAAAATAAAAAAATAAAAAAATAGCCAGGTATGGTACTGCAAACCTGTAGTGACAGCCTGGGAGTTCAAGGTTACAGTGAGGTCTGATTGCACTACTGCACTCCAGCCTGGTGACAGAGTGTCTGTCTCAATAAATAAATAAATAATCCCATGATATTCTATTACATAAATATACTATAATATATTAAGCATTTCTTATTAAAGATTAAAACACTTCTGATTTTTATCAGTTAAAAATACCACTATGTTTAATCTTTTGGCCTATCTTAATTTACTCACAACATAAAAAATGTAATTGCTAGATCTGAAACTATGCATACCTTAAAAGCACTTGATGTTATTTTGAAATGATGCTAATAAAGATGTTTCAGATTAACATCCCACTAACAGCACAAGTACATGAGATTATCACTGCTAACTTTTAGCTAGAAGCTTGTTCAACAGACAATTAACAGTGCTATCTAAAGCCCGGGCTGGACTCCCGGCTACTTTGGGAGGCTGTATTCTTGGCTACTTGAGAGCCTGACATAGGAGGATCACTTCAGGCCAGGAGTTCCAGGCTGCAGTGAGTCATGATCCAGCCATTGCACTCTATGCACTCTAGCCTGGGCAACAGAGGGAGACTCTGTCTCAAAAAAAAAAAAAAAGAAAGAAAGAAAAGAAAAAAAAAAATCCTAGTTGCATATGTACGCCTTCATTATTTATGCTATGGAAAAAATTGATCAGTTTTCCCCTAGCAAAGTATAGCAATTATTTTATAAAATACGTTTTTGTATGAGTAGATTAGCTATCAATTTCAAGTCCATATATCAACTGAGATTAATAAACAGTTTTCTGAATATGAAAAATATTACAGCTTATTTTTCACATTTTTGCAAATACTTTTGGAGTCCAGAAAATAGGTTAGAACACACAGAATTTTAACTCTTACAGTAGTGTTACTTCAATTTTCTGACTCTTATGTCCACACATTTCCTACTTTTTCAGTCCCAAAATTCTGTATTATCCCAGCATTCACATCTTCATCTGATGCCAGTTATCCGAGATGCTGGATGCAAACAACAACCAAAGAACTTCCTGGCAAGTCAATTTGGCTCATCATAAATTCCAGTAGCCTTGGTCTCACGCTATGCTGCAACATCTGCAATTCTAGCACATTGATAAAAGAATGATTAAAGAAGAAACCACCACCATCAACAACCACCATGAGTCTTTGGCTCACTGTAATTCATTTGAACACCTTATTCTTTCTTCTTTGCTACATAACTTCCTATTAATAATCATGAATAGGGTGACAGCTTTATTCTGTTCTCAATATTGATTAAGAGAGATAAAAAGAGTGCTGGCTGTGATATGGACATCTTTAATAAGTGAAATTTCTGATGAGTAATCATTTCATGCATTGTTAAGTTATAAAATACTTTCTATATTTAAATCCTCATTAATTTATTAAAATGGTATTAATGCATTATTTTTTAAAATTAAACACCCATCTGATAACTTGTTAAATTTAAATATAATTTAACCTCACCTTAATAGGTAGAAACGTGAGTCGTTAGCAAAAAAGAAGAGATTCTAGGACTTCAGGAAAGAAATGCTTAAGAAATAATACTAAACAAAAAATATTTGCTGTTTTATGTCCATTAAGATACAATATATACAATTATAGATATATTACAGTATTATCTTTGTTGTAAACTTCAAGAGTTATTGAATTGCTTAAATATATTTTAGTCAATATTTACCTTTGATATCAAAATAATTAACATCACCGTACATCTATCCTCTTTAGAAAATTATGAATCTGAAAAATTAACTTCTTTAGGGTATCTTATAGTTTCATTAAGGTATCATATAATTTCTCATCTAAAATCTATCATGGGTTAAAATTTTGCTTTGCTTGTATTTTTCACCAAATTCTCCCAAAGAAAGAATCTAGCTAAGTGACAAAAGCATTTAAAACGGATTTGTGAAAAATTGCTATAATTAAATAATGAGAAAAAAATGCTCTTGAATTTATGGAGTTTTATTTAAATTGTTTTAGTAAAGACTGTTGCTTATGTTTTTCACCATGGTTTAAAGGCGCTGTGTGCCATGTGTTGGGCTAATATTATCTGACCACAGACCTCAATCTTGTTGTTTTCTTGATTTGTCCATTGTCTCCACTGTACACAAACAAATCGTGTGCATGTTTTTGTGTACATGAAACAGTATTTTTCTTTAAGTAATGCTTGCTTATGATCCTTCATTTCTCGTTTTCTCCTATTCATTTATCTTACCTATACTACCTGTTTTGAAAATCGCTTTTAGACTTAAACCTTAACACTGGAATATTTTCATGTATGCATTGCTCCCATTCATGCAGAACTCTTGGGTAGTCCTCTTTTTCTGATCAACCTGGTTATCAAATTTATTCGTTACTTCTGTTACATAGGACCTTTCTCCAATAGACTCCATGCCATGGGTGAAATTTTCCATGTCTTACTATCTGTGAGACTACTTGAGTCACCTAATCTCATTTCCTCAGTTTTCTCATCATTAACATGGGGATAATAATTACACCAACATCAGGGTTGAAGTGTCAGCGTTAAGTAACATAGTTAAGGTAAAAATGTCACATAATGCTTTACACATAGCAAATCTTCAGGAAAAACTAGCAAGGCTTTCTGTCAAAAATACTTTTCTTGAATCTTTGAATGCAGGGAAGATATATTTGGGCTTATTAATACACTGAACCTAACTATAATATTAGAACTTTTTATGAGGGTAGTAAACTTTCAAGGCACCTTATCAAGGTTACTTTGAATATCCTTCCTTCAGGAAAACTTAGTACTGAAGTCATATAAAAGCAGAGATCTTGGGAGACACTAACCACTTTCATCTTTTAAGGTCATAGTAGCCATTTCAAGCAATGAGAAATGCAAACAATAGGGCGCGGAAACCAATATTGATGGTGTGGCCTTTTGTTGTGCAAAGCAATAAGTATAAAAGAAAAATATAAACCCTATCTAGTTTTCATGCAATCCCATGGTTCAATGTAATTGTGTTTTAAAAAGTATTAACATGCCGAGACATCAACACGTGGCCAAATGTGAATCTCCTTTGAGATTGAAGCCCAAGTAAAATCACCATCACTACCTTTTCTGATTAACCCTCCTTAGACCAAAAAATTATTTTCATTGTTGTCATCAGAACTTCATGAACCTTACAGCTTCAATGAACTTTACAGCTATTCATTCTTTCAGAGATATGTAATCAACATTATTAAACAACTGTGAGAAAGATGGCTGCAATTTAAGGAGAATACAAAGGATTTTGCTTTCTGTATTCTCAATCATGTAACTTAGTAATGCTGGGAGAAGATAACACAATTATGCCCATGCTGACCAGAGTCCCAGGTTTTCTTTGACATACCGGATTTAAATTCTGTCTTTCTTCTCTTTAGATATAGATAGACAATTTTATTCCACCTTTGATTCAGAAAATATTGGCATTTTGTTGATTTATGTAAAGCTATGACTACTTCGAGGAGGAGGACAAAGTAACTTTTTTGTTGGGAAAAGAAGAAATTAGGCTTGAGTGCCTGGCTCTCCTAGGACACTGGGTACGATTTAGATGACAGCAATTGTGTGTGTTTGTGTGTGTGTGTGTGTGTGTTGTGGTGGGGTGGGTGGAGTAAATATTTCTAGAGGGGGGATTTCTTTAGAATGGAATAAAAGGCAGAAAAATCAGAGAGGTATGAGGTAATTTAGGGCAAAATTGAGTTTAACATTGTGGTATAGAATAAAACTATATATTTAAACCATTTGTGGTAGAAGGCTTTAAATTCTAGGCTGAAAAATTTGGTTATTTTTTGGCCAAGAGTAAATAATTGAAGATAGATAAACAGGGTAGTCACATAGAAATGCAACCAACATGAAAGGGAAGAAGGCTTGAAGACTGTCTACTCCAAATTCCTCATTTTACTGATGAGGATACTGAGTCCTGTAGAAGTAAAGGAATGAGCTCAAAGATCCATTAAACTCATATTAGTTCTATTACGTATTTCTGGGCTTTAGATATCGTAGTTGATATTCTGCTTAAATATTTTTAAGTAACTCAATTATAATTGTAGGGGAGAGGGGAGCTTACATTTTGAATGGTCCTTAAATAGAAACATAAATTTTAACTTTCCATCTCACTGTGAGGCTTTTTGCCAAACTGAGAGACTGATTCACTGCTCTTCCTCTAAATTTGCTTCATCCAATTGGAGCACATTATAATAGAAAGAACCTGCTTTCAGACTTCTGGTGCCAAACATTTCGGGAAAAAAAGAAATCAAAGATGAGCTTTCACCTCTTTACAAAATTGCATCACTGCTCCTTTATTCTTTCATCTTTATGGCAAATATTTAAACAAAAACAAATGTCACCAGCTAAAGATTGTGAGGAATTTATTGTGAAGACAAACAAGACTCTAGATAAGTCAAAACTGGTGATCTGACTCATCTTTATTAGGTGTGAACGGAAGCCCAAGCTTTACAGCTGTTACTATGCATGAAATTAAATGAGATACCTTTCTTCTAAAATCAGACCTTTCTGTAGGTGCTTTCTCTGCAGCCTTTTGTTTTTTAATGCCCGTATATTAAAATTGTCCTTCAAATGTATCTCTTTGAAAGAATGAATAAATCGAGGGAATATACTAAAGCAAGAAAAGACATAATAGAGGTGACGCATAAAAAGTTGATTGTCTTGTTTTTTTTTTTTTCACTGTTTGTAAATCTCTCAATGCAATAGGGCACAATCAATTAAAATAATTAATTTTTCAAAACTCTGAATTTATTTGACCGAGGCTAATTTCTCTGGAATGTATGACATGTACCTGCATATCGTACAATTCCTAAAATACTAAAACATTTTATCAATGAAATTAATGAATTAAATCGCCACCTATGAAAGTACCTGGCACACTACAAATCTCAATAATCAAATTCTTTGACTCCTTGAAATCTCAAACAGAGCTACTGCCTCTTTATTTACTCTACAATTTACTTCTGAAGAAAACGTTGAGTAATTCCTATTCCAGCCATCAAAGTATGGGAAGAAGAGAAAGGGTCAGCAGCGGTAAGCGGTATGGGTGTTTAAGAAACTAGCCACGGACCAGCAGAGCCTACGAATGCGCGGCGATGTGACGACAAGGTTGTTGATGCCACAGCCTGTAAGGGGCGGCAGGCAAGATGCCAAACGGAGGGACCCGCGTCTCTAAGGGCCGCCGGCTTAGCTGGGGCTGATCTGCCTTCCGCCTCCCGGGAGCCCCAGTCCTCGTCAGCGTCGTCAGGAGGATTCCTCGCCCTAATTATCCCGGGAGGAAGACGCGCCTTTCCCGGAGACCGCTAGGCAACACTCACCACGGCAGCCTCCAGATTACTTCTCTCCGTGGGTGTGTGACTTCGTCGAAGCAACTCACACTTACAGTAGATTCTCACTGGCAAGGCTGCGAGCAGCAGAGGGCGGGGGAGCTGGGAAGAGGAGGAGGGAAGGAGGGTGGGAGGCGCTGAGCCGGGAGGCAGAGGGGACGCCAGAGCTCCAGACACAGCAGGAGCGCGCCTTGGCGGTGCAGTTTCAACCTCGCCTTCGCAGCCGCGCACACACCGCCTCCTCCCCGAGCAGCGGGAACCGCAGCAGCTCCCGGGCCGCCGCAGCCCAGCTCGTCGCTCCTGCCCGCCGTCCGCCGTCAGTCCCTCCCCTCGTCAGCACTCAGCCCGCAGCTATTTCCTTCTGCCAGGCTCTTTGAACTCTGGATCTCTGCTTTTGCTCGCTGCTCTCCCGTTTTTCATTCTCCACATTTTCTCAACTACTCTTTCTTTATCCTTAGCCACCCTGCTTTTTTCCTCCTTAAAAAACAAAAATCGGGGATTTCGCCTTAAAATGATTTGTCTTCCTTACCTTCGTCCATTTCAACACTGAAGACTGCAAAGAACCTTCACCTTTCCCCTAGTGGCATTTAAAAATTCTCAATCTGTAAAAAGTATTTTTAAAAGGCAAAGGAACAGGACGCGGGACCCTCTCAACACCCTTGATCCGAGTCCAGAACTGCACTAGCAACCAGAACTAATATTTCATTTAACCCTACCAAAGGGAAGGCGAGAAAAGCCAGAAGCAAACTTCAGCTGCCTCAGCGGATCCGTGGTTCCCGCATTTGGAGGAGCCGCGTGCCAGAAGGCGTAGGACCCCACGGGGAGACAAGGAGGACTCCCGAATCTCCCTTGGCGGCTCCTCGAGGCCGAAGCGGTGGACTGAGCTGCGCGGAACAGCTGCAGCGGAGGAGGCTCGGAGAAGATGCGGGGCTCGGGGCCCCGGGGTGCGGGACGCCGGCGGCCCCCAGGCGGAGGCGGCGACACCCCCATCACCCCAGCGTCCCTGGCCGGCTGCTACTCTGCACCTCGCCGGGCTCCCCTCTGGACGTGCCTTCTCCTGTGCGCCGCACTCCGGACCCTCCTGGCCAGCCCCAGCAACGAAGGTAAGAAGATGGGGGTGGGGACCGCGGCGACCTGGGGCGGAGGGGCTAGGCGGAGCCTGGGGAGTTCGGGTCTCAGCGCGCTGGACGCTGCTGCTGCAGACTAAATCGCACTCTCATCTCAAATTAATATTTGTCGTCCCCTTCCACTAGCCTTTTCGCTCCCTCTGCGGTTTTTGGTTGCATTGTTTGACATTAGCTTCGGAGTGCTGGGCAAGGAACATGCATGTGGACAGAGGCTGGTTGGGGGGCTGGGAAGGTGGAAAACCTTGGGGGAAAGGAGGTCGAGGCCCGTACCAGGGGAATGGGTGCGGCTGGGGCTCACTTAAGGCGAGTGGGGAAGTGACATTTAGGGCTTGAAGGAGTGGGAACTGTTTGAAGCTCAGCGACAAGGATCTCTGGAGCAGTGGGGCTTTTAGAAACCGTTATTTGAGGCCAGTGATGGGAAACGTTGTGGGGGTGGCTGGATGCTTTTATTTTTGGGGAAAGTGCCTGCTGGGAGCTGTTATTTAGGGCATCACCAGCTGCTATTCTGGGGTGGGTGGCAGGAGCTTTTACTTCTCATGGGAGGAGTATAGCGAAGGACAGAAGGCGCCCCACACTGTTGGGTGCCCTTCTTCTTGGGGGAGTTTATTGTCACACTCAAGCCAAGGTGGAAGAAGGCGAGAAGGTGGGATGCCGCGGGAGGAGGGGCGAGGGGGAGTGTCGCTGCTAGGAAGTTACTGCTAAAACCCAGCTGGGCATGTCTTAGAGAGGGAAAAGACCTGCTTTGGCCAGCACCTGATCCGGGAGTACCCAGTCTCACTCCCTACCCCCAATCCTGCGCTCCGGACCCAGAATACTGTCCCTGCCTTTTTCTGGGAGAGTAGGGCCGGCGTGGGAGCAACACCTGTGCCGCTCTCCGTGCTCCCGGAGCAGTGCTCAGCCCCTCTGCCCGCCTGCCTCTTGGATCTGAGCCCCCTGCCTTTGGGTCCCCTCCAGCCGCTCTCGCTCCTCTCCCACACCCGGATTGAGCTCGGGTCTCAGCCCAAGGGCGCATTACTCGCGGAGGGGCGGGAACAGCATCTCAGATCCAGATCTGTCAGCTCCACTATGAAAACAGAAAAACCTACCCCCTTTGGCTAGAACGGTGGGGTTTCGGTTTGGGATTGTGGATGCGACGCGTGAGGCTCAGAACCTTACAGAAATTCCTTCCACTCCTGGGCACGGGACACTAAACCGGAAAGATGAAGCAGCAGTGGTGGAGTCGTGTGTGTCCTCGTGACTTGCATGGGTTCAGTCCCCGCTGTAGGAGAAGGAGCTGAGCTGGTATCCCAGCAATGCCAGCTCTAAAGGAAGGGTGTGAAAGCAGGGCAGATAGAGGCTCCCTTCCTCCCGTCCCATGAACTTTCTCTTTAACCTCTAATTTTATTTTTTAAACGCTAATTACTTATTTGTATTTATCTACATTTATCTATATACATATATAGGTAATCTCCCACGCTTAAGGCAAACAATCGAGCATTTTCTCTTTCTGATAAAGTTGAAAAAGTGTTTTTGGGAGTCGTAGACCTTTTATTAACACCTTATTTTAAATTCATTCTGTTAGACGTCTGGAGGATTATAACAGCGTTAGAGGAGGCTCTTTTCTTAACTGTCTTATTCCACCGAAAGGGGCATCCTGGTTTGAATTTGATGGGTTTAACAGTAATATCATTCATCCTTTCGTGTTTCCGTTGGATTTCAAGTCCTCTCTCCAGGTGTGGTGGAAGAGGAGAACTTAGGTGGAGATGAAAGGGTGTCGATCTTGGTTAGAAAATTGGAAGAATTGAATTCTCAGGGAGAGTGTCACTGAATGGGAACAAGAGCCAAGACTGTGCAGGGAGGAAGAGGCAGAAGCAAAGAGAAGGAAGGCGAAACAGCGCCGGTCTCCTAAAGTGTTGAAAGCAGAGCTGGAATCTTGTGGAACATAGCCTGGCTGTTGTTACAGATTTAACACCCATAGATTGTATTGTCTTACCTCATCTAGTCCGTCACACAGCAAAACTTGGACTACAGTGAGATGGGGCTTGGAGATCTAATAAAAAATGAGAGGTACCTTACCACCTGGTGCTCTGAAAAAAGCCTGCTGTTTGGGGGCACATTTTGTAATATGTCACTATTATACTTAATTGGAAATAAAATTGTATAAATATCTATGTCATTATCTAATCCATCCTATCTCAGCTGAGCACAGTTTTCCATCTTTCCACTTAGTATCCTAGACCTTTATTTCTGCTCTGTGAAATATAGCTTCTTCTCTTCTTGTTTCTCCATGCTATTGCTATAAATTGAGCAGCAGAGTGTATTAAAATACTTATTTGATAAAATGTTTGGGCTTTTTTAGAGATTCAGATCAGAGTTTTCCAATTTGTTTATTTGCTTCTGGAGGGACTTGGGAAGGTCAGGGGGCAGAAAGATTTGATGTATATGCTGAACTCATTAATCACTTGTTCTCATATAATTTGTCTTCTGCAATCTACAGATGCTTAGTGATTTCCCAAAGACTGTGTGTGTACGTGTGTGTATACATTATGAATGCTCCCATTATGTGAAAAAAAATTTTAAAACATACAGAATAAATGTGAGTGCACATTCATAGTTGCTATTCTAGTCATTTCTTAAATTTAACTTTGTTAGGTATAAGCAAGCAGAATTGAGCAGAAAAAGCCAAACATATATCTGGAATTTTGGACTTTTATGAAATGTATTTTTGTGGTATGTATGAATATGTTGGATAGCAGACAATAAGAGGAAAATTTACCCTTTAGCCTGAATTCTAAGCAATTTATAAGTTAAATATATCATTAGTAGTTTTAGTGTATTAGTCATAAACTACGTGTGGAAGAATCCTTTGATTTACAGTATAATATTCAAAACATTTATTGTAAAAGATTTCAGAGGTATATTTAGAAACAGACTTGTCTCTGATCAAGCAGGACAAATATTAGCAAGTGTATCTGCAAGTGAAAATTTAAATAAATTTAGTAAGTAAAGGGTTCATGTCCATTGCTATGAATTTTGGAGGTGGCCCTGAACGTATTCAGTAACTGCCACTTTTTGCTGTCTGGAGATATATTTGTAAACAAGCATTATTTGACAAGTGCTTTTCACAGCAGGGATTCTTGGCCAATTACTGCTGAACAGCTCTGCATTGAAAATGATTCACCAGCAGTGAATCAAGCTTAATTCATTGAAGCTACAGTCAGTAATGTCCCAGTAAAGTGCTTCTGACAGTTGTCAGCGGTTTGGATTTGAAAAGTCCAGTTTCTTGTCTCTGAATGTTTTGTATGTTTGAGAAAGTGGGATAGAAACACATAAGGTGGGAAGAAAAGGCTAAACTGCCTGAAAAGCAATCATAAACTTGTAAATGTTTTCCTTGGAAAGATAAAAAAGGGGAAAAAAAAGTTTGTTTTAGGGTTTTTCTTGGCTTATAACAGAACCAGGCCCATAAAATAGATTGGAGGACATAATAGATTTGTAAAACTAAATGGCTTTATTCTGTGGCCTTGTCATCCCATTGTAATTCATTTCCTTTTAGATAAATCTGCAGGACCCCACAGAAAAAAGGACAGTAAAATCATTTCCTCACCAGGACATTACTGAACAAGAAAAGAGAGCTATTACCCCTATTTGAATCATAGATTGTTGAAACTACAAGGGACCATGAATAGTTTTGGCTTTTTGCTTAATAAACCATGAAAAGGGGACCTAAGTCTTGACATTTTAAGCTCCTTTTGAGGTAGACAAAGATCTTCTTGAGTGTTAGGGTGACAGATAAGAGGATTTCATTTCCTCATATAAGACAAAGAGGACAGTGAACAATTTCTGCATTTAAAACAAAGATTTTTCTTTGATTGGAAATATTCTTCTTGTAATATTGTCATTTGGAAATACTGTTGGCTCTTTATTCAAATTCACATAAAATATAGTTGGTATGGAAATAAAGGTTCACTTTTTACACCTAGAAAAAAATATTTACTATAACATATTTATATTAGTATTCTCTATAAAATATGACTACTTAGAGTATGTGTTTTTTGTATCTTTACATGCAAATTAAAAGGAAATGATATAGGTGTGTAACAGCAAACATTTCCAAACTTTTTAATTAAATATTTTATTCAGAATTGATTGCTGCTATTGAGAAAATAACTGTGCTTTAGTTATTTCCACCACACTTTTGTTGATTGACTCTACCACTTGAATCTCCTTTGTCTGGAGTGCTTTTTTAAATGTATTTGCTTGAATGGCAATTAGTTTCTTTTTCATTTGGTAGAAAGCTTTCTACCTTTGACTGTAAAAACAGAGTATAATGTACATGATTATATTAGGTAACTATAGCTATTATCCATTTTATGAGTCAAATTTAATGTTCTTTTTTCAAAAGAAAAATACAGTGTTCATATTTCAAAGAAATAATTGCTGAACAAATAATCGATAACTCCTTAGAAATTTTTTAAATTTAAATTAGCATATATTTAATATATTCTACTTTACTAAGGAATAGTTCCAATTTAAGTTAGCAGGGATACCTATTTAAAGATTATGACATCATTTTAAACAATCTTAAAATAGCTCGCATGGTTTTTATAAAGCATCAGAATTAACTGAGGTTTGAATTTCACATCTTGCTTATTAATCATTAAAAATTGATCGTAGTATTTGCTTTTTCTTTTCAGAAAGAGTGAATTGTTATTATAAAAGCAATATTAGAGTAAAAAATGTCAACTCTTACTTAGAAACTCAGAATGATTCTTACTATTATAATATCTCTAGGGAGTATATATTTCAGGTGGAGAATGGCTCCTACTGCTGTGCCCTTCTGAGTAAATGCATATTTATTTTATCAAAAGTTATGTAAACCATAGGATAGATAAGGGTTTCTTCAAAAGAGTTATTATAGTCCATTGTATACATATATACCTAATGGAACAGTTAACTGATTTTAAAAATTTATCATATGTACTATCCTTGTGTAATTG